ATAAATGATCAATACATATGATCACTTTAATCCTAAAAATGATACGTTTTTTCTTTGAGTGTCAAAATGACTGATCACATTGGAAATACCAGAATTATGATGTAGTTTTTCATATCTTGTGTTGGGGCATGAGGTGCAAAGCAAAGCATTAATAGGTCAGGTCGACGGTACCCAACTACTTTCCAATTGGATTGAAAACCTGCTATGCAAGAGGAAACACATACCTTGTACTGCAAATCTAGCTGAGAACCTATTGTTAGGGAGTTGACAGGCCCCCCTAGAACTATTAATTTAGGAAGGAAGATTACACTAATCAAGTCTGAGAATCCCACAGAGTTACTTTTGTAGCCTTTGGACGTTACTTGATGTTTTTGAGCCTCCGTTCTGAAATGGCAATCATATTTATGCATTAGACCCCCTTTAGGATGTTACAAGGACAAAATGAGCCAACAAGTCCAAAAGGGGGTGTCACACAGTAAGCATCTGGTGAAGACGTGCCATTACTCTTAATACTTCAAGATCCCATATTTAGGATCAAGGGCTGTCATCCAAGCTGTGTCTTGTGCCCCTTTTAAGAATACTTTAACTGCCTGTGTGGAGTGAACCAAACCTCAGCAGGATTTTCCCCAAAGCTCCTGCCTTCACAGGGATGAGCTCAGATGACCCAGAATTTGAATGGAGTCTGTCTCTCAGGGACTACATAGTTGATAAAGAGAGAACTTTGCTTTAGAATTGTTGAGCCACATTCAATGCCTAGTCAAAGAGTCAAACGCCAAACACCACCAGGCTTCAATGAAGGCATCAATCCCATTAAACTCTTGCATTCAGGAGAGAACATTTATATGAATGTTATCTGAATGTGCATGTATTTGCACACACGTGTGTCTGTGAAGACAAAAAGACAAGAATCAAAAATATAGAGACAATAGCCATGATAAGAAGAAAGAGAACATATACATTTAGAATTATATCCAAGATCTTCTAATGATAAACCAAAATAAGACTTGAAGATGAGAGCTACTGGTATCTAAGAGCAGCAGTAGCTAGTCTCTGGGTTTATTGTTCTCTCTCTGTCTCTCTTTTTTAAAGTCATGTGAAAAATGTGAAGTTACCAAGTAATTCATTGTCAGGAAACAAAAGAATAAAGGGCACCAATGACATCACTCTGTAGAAACCCCAGAGTTTTTTAATTCTGCTATTTATGCTTTAGAAATCTTGCAACATCTGCATTTGCATCCCATGGAAAACACTTCTCTTTCTGTCACTCACAAGCTGTCAAGATGGCATTGTGTGGTTTAAAAAGAGAGCCGGGCGGTGGTGGCGCACGCCTTTAATCCCAGCACTCGGGAGGCAGAGCCAGGCGGATCTCTGTGAGTTCGAGGCCAGCCTGGTCTCCAAAGCGAGTTCCAGGAAAGGCGCAAAGCTACACAGAGAAACCCTGTCTCGAAAAAAACCAAAAAAAAAAAAAAAAAAAAAAAAGAGAAACTCCATTTAACTTGGTGGTTGATAAAGACATTTCATTCATATCCCTTAACTAACAATAATTATCCTAATTCACCACATGAAGACAAGCAAGAAGAACATTCACCTTTCTCAGCTTGTTTCTCATTGTGGAACACAGAATAGAAGTGGTCCCACTCTTGAGACAAAAACAACTCATCAAGTCAAAGAAGGAGCCAAGTTAGAGTGGGTGCTTTGGCTACCTCTTGTCCCCACTGCAGAAGAGTGCATGGGGGGTCCAAGAGAGCAAACTACGCCGGGCGGTGGTGGCGCACGCCTTTAATCCCAGCACTCGGGAGGCAGAGCCAGGCGGATCTCTGTGAGTTCGAGGCCAGCCTGGACTACCAAGTGAGTTCCAGGAAAGGCGCAAAGCTACACAGAGAAACCCTGTCTCGAAAAACCAAAAAAAAAAAAAAAGAGAGCAAACTACACTTAGATGCAAATCCTGGGTTTGCCCTTGCATAACCACAGGTAAAACACATTTCCTTCTGAATTTCATGTTCTTGATCTGTAAAATGGGTATCTGTATTAAGACCTACATCATAAGATAAATTTGAAAATAAATGTTAGCTGTTATTATGTTTATCATCCTGGTCCTCATAAACCATCCATTGACCTCATCAGGCAATGTCATTTAAGGCTCTTAAAGGACAAGTAACACAAACCATTCTCCTGAACTTTAAGGAAAGATACAATGGATTGACTGGTATGTACAGAACAAGCTTATAGGCAACGGGAATCAGAACCAGAAATGAATGAGGTTCTGCCATCAGGAAGAATCAGTTGCAACAAGTTCTTGTCCCTGAGTCAACATATGTGAGACTCAGATTTCTGGAAGGAAGAGGCAAAGAAGACAGAAAGGTGAGGCTTGCTTAGACCACACCTCACTTCTTAGCAAGGGAAGAATAAATTGTTTGATTGACAATCCCAATATTGCTACAGTAGTGTAGGGAAAGCAGTTCCCTAAGGAAAATCCCGATCTTACTGCACAGAAGGGAAGCACAGATGCTGAGCGGGCACAAACACCAACTATTAGGACCGCTGCCGCTGTTGTTGCCTTAGAGCCTGAGAACCGACTAGATCAAGTGTAATTGGGTCCACACCCTTTCCTCCTCTCGCCAGTCTCTCTCTTTGGTAATTAGACTTTTAATATATGTTACAATTTTAAGCTGTTAATAAAACTATTTTGAGAAATTAAAATATTTATGTACCATTTTTATAAAAATTTGCTCCTTGTTATAAGGAAATTTGTTGTTGAAAGCTTTATGACAGCATTTACAGAAAGTCTTGCTTGAAGCAGCAGGACTCACAGTGGCTGGTCTTCACCATGACATTTAGTGTAGATGAGTTTTGGGATGGCTGTCCTGCTCATAGAGTCCCTTTACCCCTGTGTTGTCCTGTGTTCTTATGTGGCTCCATCTGAATACCCTGGGGGCATGAGTGGTAGGCTCTAACCTCCACTGGGTCAAATGGGATCTCATTTCTGGAGGTTTGGAGTTGGCTCCAAGTGGGTCATGTTCTCCATGTGGCTGAATTAGAAACCCATGAAGCCAGGAGAAATGAGAAGCAGGAGTTACCAGAAGAGCAGCAGTGATGGTGCTGCCGGGGTCTCTGGCATCCTCAGGCTGACTCTGGTCTTTGCAGAGCACCAGCCTAATCCTGCTTCCTGACTCTGTGAACTGCCTGGATCCTTAGCAGAACTCCTTGTACTTAACATGGATTATATTGATTGTGGTTAATCACAATTAAGAATCTTAATTAATAGAGTGTCACCCTTTGGGGGTTGGGGAGCGTCTCATCAGGGCATGAGAATGTGGAGATAGGATGTGCACACGTTGCCAGTAGATCCTCAAGGGTGAACAGGGAGTGCCGCTCTACTTCCTCATCTAACTCCTGACTCCTGGACCCAAGAATCCAGCCTGTCACACTGGACATAATTCCCATAACATACAGATGACCCTTCTGGATATTGTGCTTCCCTGGGGATGTAATGGAGACTTCAGAAGGCCATCCTACTGTCTGCCAACTCTGGCATGATAGGGACTGTAATGAGTGTGGCCTGTCACCATGCTGCTCTGCTGTGAGGGTCACTTGTGGTAGCAGGGCAGTGTGGACAATGCCTCTCTCTGCACTGTGTGATGTGCAATAGCAGACAAGCCTCTCTGCAAGGCTTCAGATATTCATATTCTAAACCAATTAACATATTTTAAAATAAACAAATGAATGTAGAAAAAAGAAAGTCTTTGTTGTTATGGTTAAGTTACTTAGTATGGTTTGTGCTATAAAAAATATAAAACATCCATTGAAAAGTTACTTGAAGATGACTTGAGTAATAGTTGGAGTCTTGCAAAAAATATATTTTACTTTTAATGTTCAGTAATGTTCAGTAAGGATGATAATTACACTCAGAGATTAGAGTTAAATGCAAGTTTTTGTTTTGATAAATTTTGTTGATAATGCCTCAATGAAAAAGGATTAACAATAAAAAGCAATGATGTAAGAATAATGATAAATAATAATGCACTGTATGACATATAATTCCATTAATATTTTCTTCCAACTTGCTAGCTGAACAAATCCCCAACAATGAAACACACATAGGCTGATAATTTGGAGACTGAAGGTCTACAGAGTTCAGTGACAATATGTCTCATAAAGCCCTGAGTCTTGGAATCACGCAGGGCTGAAACAATCCCAGCTCTACCCAAAGCACATTATTAATTGGTAAACTCCTGAGTCCACTTTGAGCCAAAATGACAATAATACCAAGGATGAGAGAGGGGGAAGAGAGGGAATGGGGTGGAGGAAGCTGATACCATGAATGCAGAACCTGTAACAGACTTGGAATAGGAAGTACACTTGGAGCAGAACAGGAGAGGAAATCACAGCAGCAAATTGGGAAGTAGACTGACACACAGGATCTCCTGAGTAAGCCCTCTGAGCCTCAAGGTTCTCATTCGTATGTGGACACAGAACCACTAACCAAACAGGCTGTCAGTAGACCTGACATTCACCCTTCACCAAATCATTACGGTTGCCCACTACCTTTACACAGTAGGGATGCACCTGTGTGTACACCACAACAAGAAGTTACTGTTCTTATTATATGGTAAATATACAGTCAACTTTAATATCTTACTGCACTTCGTGGGAAATATCTGTACTTCGAAGGATTCTTCAGATTCTCGGCAAAAGGCAATCGACACCAAGATTTTGAATCCAAATTAATCTTTACTGCAGAGCAACTTTTATCAGCCTGAGAACCTCAAAACCTCTTAAATAAAACACATCTATAGGTGTTCATGCCCATCTGTAGGGTTGGATGTAGATACATAACACATATATGCATACATGTATGGTCACACAGTGTGTGTTTGTGTGTGTTTCTTTGGTGATAGTGCAAAATGGTTAAAGACCAATGAGCTACTTTGTTTTCAATACAAGAGTAACCAGGACATAGAATTTCAGAACAGATAAGTATAAAGTTAAAATGGCAGTACCTGGGAGTAGTTATGAACTCAATCTATACGCTCAGGAGAAGAGCACTTTCCAAGCCTCACAAAGCTCTAGGTTTGCATCCCCAGCACTGGGAAAGAGAACAGACAAAAAAGGAACTCAGAGCTTGCAGTACACCCTTGGCTTCTGCTTCTCCTTGGCCACACAACCTTTGAGAAAGTCTGATCACACCTTTTTAATTCTCACTGCAAAGTTGAAATGCTCAGGAAATGTGCCTAGACCAGTAGTTCTCACCCTTCCTAAGGCTGTGACCCTGTAATACATACAGTTCCTCGTGCTGTGGTGGCCCCCACCCATAAAACTGTTCTCATTGCTACTTCATAACTGTAATTTTGCTGCTGTTATAGATCGTAATGTAAAAATTTGTGTGTTTCCAATGGTCTTAGGGGCCCCCAGCGAAAGGGTCATTTGACCCAAATTGTCCCAATGCACAGGTTGAGAACCACCTACCTAGAGGGATCTTACAACAATAAACTGAGACAACATCATGTAAGGATTTAGCTCAGTGTCCAGCACACAATGCATACCCACTAAGGATGAGAACTGTGAGGATGGGTTTTATAGACTTTACATCCAGTTGGTAGTAAATGGCTTCAGCTTTCTCTAACTGGACACAGCAAATGCTGTCAGAGGAATTGCAGGAAGTTACCCACTCTTCCATCTACTACCAGCTCAGCCAGGAGATTCGCTGGTCCTGAGGCACATCCTGTGTAATAAAACCTATACTACTACCAGCTCAGCCAGGAGATTTGCTGGTCCTGAGGCACATCCTGTGTAATAAAACCTATACTACATGCCAAAGCCGCTGAGAGAAACAGGTGTGACTGGCCACAAACTTTCACACATAAAAGTCTCATTGGAACTTCCTATTCTGGAAAGCCCCCTGGAACCCTCTGAGGCATAAACACAGTAACTGCTTGCTTGTTCATTAGTGTGGACAAATCTAAGATCACCTCTCAAATAGCCTGTCTACTCAACAAGTACAGACTGACCTGGATGTTTTTCTCTCCTTTGAAGTGGCCCTTTGGAATTCTGGGAAAGGAATTCTCCATCACCTTCCTGAGGCAAGTCTACATAAATATCTCTCCCCCTGCCTCAGTGCCCATTGCTTCTTCCAAGGACTGAATGGAAATGGCCTTCCAAGATCCTCTTACTCTAAAATGCCACTGAAGAAACAGCACCTCACCTGCTTGTATGTGCACAGGGCGAAGTCAATGCACTTGTGTGTGTGCAGGGTGAAGTCACTCCATTTGTGTGTGTGTGCAGGGCAAAGTCAGTAAAACACTTCACTGGGCTTGTGTGTGTGCAGGACAAAGTCAGTATTAATCAGAGTGCTCTTTGCAAGGATGACAGCCAAAGGAGATGTGCTCATAACCAAGAGCTTCTCACCAAGCCTCAGGGCTTTAAATCTTTACCAAATAAACTGCAATTTGTAAAGAACCCCCTGAAATGATGTTGCACAAGGAAGTTAACACGGGCACAGAAGGATGCAGTAACATTTCACCATCTGCCTGTGGCACTAATAATGCCTTACAAATGTCTAATTGACTGTATGACAGAAGCATAAAGATCCTGCCACAACCTGACAGAGATTACCCCTCCAGTATGCCAAGGTCACTGCTCCTAAGGACCAATTTTGTACAAAGGAACTTTCTAGTGACAGTGTGAGAGGAGACCTGGGATGCAGCTGGACAAGCCTGAGCTAAGTGTGCTATAGGAGACTTGGGATGCAGCTGGGCAAGCCTGAAATAAGTGTGCTATAGTTGATAAAGCAATGCTGAGCTGGGGCAGAGAGGTGGGAAACATGCTGGCATGGTGCTCCTCTTACACTTGCAATGAAAATGCCTCATGTAGTATGGATGGATACTTATCCATTGTGGAGGGAATCTGGGTTCTCAGCTGCTTCCATCTCTTGGGTGTTAGGATTCAAATCATGCTGGGGAGTGGTGGTGGGTGACACTTGTTCTCTTGAGGCTCAGACTTTTCTGGGTGTCATGTTTTCCTGAAAATGATACAGTGAACACCTAAACTGAAGGTCTTGAAGAGAGGGAAGTGGGAAAAACAGAAGCACTGGATGGCACACATCTTTTAAAATTTCTTTTCCTAAAGGGAGCATCCGGCAAGCACACTGCTCCAAGCCAAATAGAAATTGGCAACTTAGTTTTCTGCTTCTTCCAGAAGCAGAAGACCAACAACCACCACTACAGGGTTAAACTGGCAGCACTTGAGAGATGGCTCATCAGCCAAGAGTACCTCCAGAAGACCCAAGTTTAATTCCTAGCACCCGTATCAAGTGGTTGACAGTTGTCTGCAGCTCCAGCTCCAGGGGTCTCCCTACACCTCTAGCCTCTGGGGACACCTGAACTCAATATGGACATACTGACACACGGACATACAATTTTAACTAATAGTAACAATAATAACTGTTGCAGGATATTTGTACACTGTGTAAAGATGTATTGTTGTGATTAGTTTAATAAAGAGCTGAATGATAAATAGCTAGGCAAGAAAAAGGACTTCCAGGGAGAGAAAGGAACTGGGAAAGAATCTAGGCATAAGAGATGCAAGCGAGACAGAGAGCCAGTCAGACCTACAGAATAAAGGAGAGGTAAAAGCCAAGTGGCAGAACAGAGATTAATATAAATGAGTTAATTTAAGTTATAAGAGCTAGTTGGAAACAAGCCTAAGCTAAAGGCCAAGCTTTCATAATTAGTAATAAGTTTCAGCAGCATCATTTGAGGACTGGCCATCCAAAATGAAAATCCAACAACAAATAACAGTATAAATTCTTTAAATATATTTAAATTACAATCTGACTTAAAATTACTGTATATTTAATATGTATAACACATCTATATGCATATACTCTATACACATAATATAATTACATGTAAAGGTATATTTGCATATATGTTGGGATTCTTAGTACTAATATCAAAATTGGAACCTGTAGTCGGAAGGTTTCCTCAGTCCTGCCCAGCCCCCGTGGTCCAGACAAATCTCTCTCACCTGCTGTCCTGCAGCCTCTCAGACTCAAGTAAACACACAGAGGCTTATATTATTTACAAACTGTATAGTCTATGGCAGGCCTCTTGCTAGCTAGCTCTTATATCTTAAATTAACCCATTTCTATTAATCTGTGTTTTGCCACATGTTCTGTGGCTTACTGGTCTGCTGGCATGTTGCTCCTTGGACGGCAGCTGGCATCTCTCTAGACCGCGCCTTTCTCCTTCCTGTCTCTCTCCTTGGATATCCTGCCTGTCTCTGAGCTGCCTTGCCATAAGCCAAAGCAACTTATTTATTAACCAATGGGTACAACATATTCAGAGCATTCAGAAAGATATCCCCCAGCATTTTCCCTTTTCTATCTAATCAAAAGGAAGGTTTTAACTTTAACCATAGTAAAATTACATAGCCAGGTTTTTTAATTAATAAGACCATTTAGCAATTCATCTAACAGGAACCAAACTATCTTTTCATATTTTTCCTTTAAACTAAGTGGTAAGAGGTTAAATTTACCTTTATTGATAACTAATCCAAGACAATTCCATTCTGCTCATGGGAAAAATCCATTTTCTAGTATGTATTTTTGTAAAGTCAATTGTATTTCTTTTGCATTTTTGCTTTTTCACTTTATGTGTGTGCCAGGTGCTTGGGCATGAGCATAAATATGAGTAAAGGCCAGAGGTCATGCTCAAGTATTATTGCTTAAATGCCATCCACCTTGTTTTTTTGGTTTGGGTTTGATTTTTTTTATTTATTTATTATTTTTTTTTATTTTATTTTTGTGACAGATGGTCTAGAACCCATGAATTAGGCTGGTCTGGCTAACCAATGAGCCCCAGAGATCTGCTGTCTCTGCCTGCCCAGAGCTGGGACTACAAGTATGCACCACTATACCTAAAATTTTAGTATTATTTTACCATGAATTCTGGAAATAAAACTCTGGTTCTCATACTTGCCTTGCAATTGTTTTACAAACTGAGCTATATCCCCTGCCCTTGATTTTTTATTTTTCATGATGCACAGGACTGAGCCCAGAGACTTGTGCATGCTAGGCAAGTACTCTTCTCTCGTGCTATACCCCAGCTCTTCACTATTCACTCTTATCCTTTAGTTTGACATGGCATCATTTTCTTTTTACTGTATATTGTCAGTTTCCATTTTTGACAAACATTAATGGTCTTCTATTTATGGTTGCAGTCTGCATATTGTTTTAACTAATTAATTTATATAAATAGATGTAAATTGCAGAAAAGCATTATAGTGCAGTGATAAAGATGGTCTGGTCTTGCTATGCAGCGAAGCTTGGCATCAGCTCCCCACTGGCTGCAGCTCTTCCCACCTTTCTATCAGTGTGAAGGTCCTGCACCTCTCCACTACCCTCACAAGCACTTGGAATCTTCACAATGAATTTGTCAACACATTTTGGAAAAGGCTATCTGTATGGGGAAAGTGCTTGTCTCTCACTGAAGACTAGCAGTTAAAAAAAGAGAAAAAAAGCAAAACAACAAGCCAAGCAAGCAAAAGCTTTGCAGAATCCCAACAACCTTTGGTTTTGTAACAACAGCAACAGGCAACTGATGCTCTCCCTGCTCAGAAGTGTGCTCTTTCCACTGCTTCCATTGGTCTTGAGTGGTTCTCAATGAAAATGAGCCAATTTGATGGATAAAAGGCCAAGTTTCCTGATGGATAAACCTTAGTGTTTTCTTCTGAGTCATACTCTCCCCACTTACTAATATTCTAAGCTTGGGCCCTTGTCTGGAGCCTGCGTACCTATGCTTAGCAAATGTGAAGACAATTGGCCTCAGTCAGTCCACAGACATTCAAAGATCAGGTACCCACAAGTGCCCAAGAACAGGTATTATTATTATTAGTTTATTTTGATATGCATATACAATTTGAAATGACTTCTACAATCAAGCTAACTAATATGACCATCATCTCCTACAGCTATTCCCATGTGTGTGATGAGAAAATTTAAGAGCCATTATCTCAGTAATTCCCAAGTAACAATATAGCACTACTTGATTTATTCCCCCCCCACCTAAAACTTTATACCCTTTGACAGACACACCCAACTTCTTCCTCACCCTTCCCAAAGCCCTTGGCCAACACTGTTCTACTCTCTGCTTCTTATGAATTTGCCCTTTTCTTTTCATAAACTTTATTTTTAATTAAATAGAATCATATATCTATTATATACATAAATAAATAAATATACATAATTTATATCATAAATATATATAAATAATATTATGAAATATGCAAATACTGTCAAATGGACATTTCAGCTAATGAACACAGACATTATGTGAGGGGACTGCTTTTTTGGCCACGATGTCACTAAAGATCTAAAGAGCCACCTTCTTCCTAGGGTGAGGCAGCTTAAACTTCACAGTTCCAGATGAAGAGCAAAAGGAGACCAGGACACAAATGAAGCAAACTTAATGAAAGGGAGGTCCAGAGGCAAGGCACAGAACAAGGAATGATCAAAGAGCCAGCCCATTGGAGGGTGTGTCCATGAAGGCTTTCATTGGGGTGGGCCTGAAAACTGTGTTCCACCCAGGATGGTGTGATGGTGTTTCACCTTCTGGGATCAAATAAGGAAGGAATGATTAAGTGCATTCCATCACTGTTAGTCTGAAGTTTGTTCAGGGTAGTTCCAAACTCAGGATGGCTGTTGAGACAGGAGATAGCTAAACATACCTATTTATTACCCAACTTCTGTTTACCTATCATTATCTTCAGACTAGAATGCACAACTGATTGTGTTTACTGTCATCAGTTTTCGGTTCACATCTGTGACCAGTTCAAAGGCTCAAGATGTTCTCCTGGCTCGTGTTCACTAAGCAGTGACATTTAACAAGGAGGTTGAAATTTAACAAGAAGGTTGCCTGCTGAAATGTGTCGGAAAGCTGTCCTCTCCCTCAGTCCCCTAGCTCTCTGCCTTCTCTAACATATACTTCAAATCTACACTTAGGGCAATTTTAAGTATAATGCATTATAACTAATTGTAGTATCCAGATCACATAACAGATCTGATTAATGTCTCTCATCTACTATTCTACACTTGGATCAGTACCTCTCTAGCTGTTGCCTCCTGGCCCCTCCTACCTTTGATAACCTTTGTTACAATATCTGCTTCTCTGAGTTTGACTTTTTCAGATTCCATACATAAATGACATCATTCTATGCTTGCTTACATTGTCTTCTATGTTCTTTCAAAACTGATTATTGATCCAACATTAGGATTTTCCTCCTTCTTAAGATAGATGATAAATAATATAATAATGTTCTACCACATATGCATATATACACATTAATGAGACATATATTTAATGTTTTCTTTGTACTTTCTGTCAAAAGACAAATGTTAGTTTTGTATGTTGGCTTTTATGAACAACACTGTAGTGAACATGGGCATGTAACACACTGTTTTCAACTCATTTGGTTATGCACATGTGGGATTGCTGACTTCTATCATAATTCTGCCTTTAGCCTTTTGAGGGGCCTCTACACTATTTTCCATAAAGGCTGTAATGATTTGCATCTGCCACAGCATTCAAAGGCTGCCTGTTCTCTGTGTGGAAGCAATTGCTATCTTTTGAAAATAGACAATCCCAAAGGTGTGAGATTTCTAATTTTGAGGCTGTTGTTGTTATAGCATACAGAGAAGTACAGTTCATCAGGACAGTTTTATATGCACAAATCACTACACTTTGCATAATTCATCCCCACTGCCCACTGTCTCCCTTTTGTTCCACTTGCTAGACCCCTTGCTCAATGCAACAGTCTTCCTGTATTTTACTATCATTTGTTATGACTACTCCCTCTAGAACAGCATCCCCTCTCATAGATGTATTATTTGGTTATTTATTTGAAAATTTGCTGACCTTTTAAATGTCTGTTAGTGTTTCTTTTATGAAATCAGGAACTCCAATTTCAGGTACAGATATATTTACCACTGTTATAGCCTCTCAATGAATTTTCCATTTCTAT